ACGAGAGTTATAAATATCTTTTATAAACTATTTAAAAGGTAATTACTCTCCTCTTTATATTTTTAATAAAGAGCTTTTCATTTTTTTGGAGTATATAGATTATTACTAAGTTGAACATCAAAATATCTTACTTGAGAAACTCCCATGGGCTTTCTAGCTATTGACATCAGGGCACACCCAAATTCAGATCTTGACCCAACCCGGATATTTTGTGCTTAAACAGTCACTAGAAGAAAATGGATATTTTTAGTCATAAATTAAATTTATATTTAAAATATATATGTAGCAAATTCTACTATAAAAAATGTCCATTTTCGTATAGTGAGTGGGGCTACTGAAGAAAATAGAGCGGGTCTGATTCTTCCAGCTTTTCCAAACATTGTAACGGGAGAGACCATTTATGCTGGTAATGGGAATTCCAGCACCTAAGGGTCGGAGGACTTTAATGCTAAACAGCGGCAAATGCTGTACTTATGGCCAAGGAATTTGAAGAGACACACTCGGGGGATAAAATTAATGATATTAGTTCATCCGAGAACTCAGAAAGAATCTCGTCTCAAAAGATGTAAGAGGAAAAGATGTTAGGATTTCTTATACTGAAGTACATTTATCTCATTTCTTGTTTAGCACATTCGAAATGTCGGCAAAGAAGGTGCGTGCAAAGGGTGGAGAGAGCAATATTGGATCAGTTGGGCAGAGTTTACTTTAAGTACCGCTATAATTCACGGTACAATGAAGGATCAGCTAGTGATCCTCAGAGTCTCTATTCTAGGTTAAGAAGCTCCCACAGCTTAATACCGATGTCTTTGCTTGAAGAGGCGGTCAATTTCAATTTCAAGCATTCTTTTCTCCCAAATAATAATAATAATATTATTATAAGTTAAAAATTATTTACATATAAATTTTACATATTATTTTTAAGGTAAAATGTGCATCAGTCCTACCTTTAAAAAAAAATTTGAAACCCCAACCAAAACAACGTTGTTTTCCTCTCAAAAACCCAGCCCTACTGTTCGCCTTTTCTCTTAAAAATCCAGCCCCTACTCGCCTCCTCTAATTCCTTCAATTTTTCACTCAAAAAAACCCACTAGTAATGTTGCCCTCTCTGTAACCATCTCCATCTCCCTTTCCCCCTTTTCCCTCATGTGAGGTTGAGGCGATTAGAAGCCAAGAGACATAACCACGCCTCCTAACGTGCTCGAAGTACCATAGAACAAAAGAAATTGAGATTTATGTTCCTTTGTCACACGAGCTTGAGGGAGTTGCAAACCAATTTATTTGGGTTTTGCAAGGTTGGTTGCTGTGATTGTGGTTATAATAGTGTTGAAATTGAATGATGAGAATTGAAATTGCAATTTTAGTTATAATGGAGGAAACCCGGATTTGGGTTTCTTTTCTAAGTTTGTTTTTGAATGGTTTAGCAATGGTTGCTTTCTTCATTTCCTCTCATTTCCATATAGATTTTGGAAACCCAAATCTAAGTTTGTTAATTTATTTGAAATCGTCTCCATCTCTTTTATTTTAATTCATTTCCATATAGATTTTGCTTTCTTCAGCCCCTGCTCCTCACCTCCTTCGACAATCATCTCCATCTCCTTCTTCACTCTTCTGCAATCATCTCAATCGCCTCCTCATCTCCCCAACTCCTCTAATTCTTGCAATTTTTCAAACACAATCCCACGCCGCCGACCAAACTCTGCCATTACAATTCATCATCTCCAGTAATCAAAGGATGGTAAGTGCTTTGTTGGGTCTTTTTCTTTTTTTTTTTTTTAAGTTTTCAATGATTGCAGAGGGGGCGAAAAAGGAGATAGAGATGATTGTAGAGGGGGCGACAGCAAGGGCTAGGTTTTTAAGTGCAAAATTGAAGGAATTGGAGAAGGCGATGCTGGATTTCGTTTGCATAAATTTAGGGAAATCGGTAGTCCTTATTCCTATCATTTTTGGAATTGTGGTCCCTTTGCTTCCTTCTTACAATCCTCATAACTTGTTTGGCACTTTGTTCATATTGGAGATGATGAAGATGATTGCAAAAGGGGCTTAAAGGAGATGGAGATGATTGCGAAAGGGGCGAAGAGGAGCTAGGGCTGGGGATTAAGAAACGACGTCATTTTGGTTAGGACTTCAATTTATTTTTTGGAGGTGAAACTGATAGGAACTTCCCCGTTATCTTCATATAAAATTTTAATTAT